CGCCCTATGTGATATAGGTGTGGGAAAGGACATTCTGAACAGGACACCATTTGCTCTGGAATGAAGGCTAATATTTGACAATTAGGAGTTTATAAAACTCAAATGCTTCTGAACAACAGCTAATACCACAACCAGGTGAGCAAATAAGAAACTCACTGAAAGGGTGAGAATCTTGTCAGCTATATCTGGAAAAGGATTATTATCCAGAATATTCAAAGAATTCATAAAACAAAGAGTCAAAGGAACAAATGACCCAATCAAAATATAGTCTAGTGATCTAACTAGAGCTCTCAATCAAAGAAATAAAAATGGCTAAGAAATACTTTCAGAAAGTGTTGCTTACCCTTAGCAATCAAGGAAATACAATTTAAAACAGCCTTGAGATTTCATGTCATTCTTCTCAGGATGTCCAAGATCAACAGAAAAACTGTCAACAGAGGTTGTGGAGAAAGAGGGCCCCTCATTCTGTTAGTGAGAATACAGATTGGTGCATCTTCTCTGGAAATCAGTGCAGAGAGTTCTCAAAAATGTAGATCTACCACATGAAGCAGTTTTACTACTCCTTGACGTTTGCCCTAAGAGCTAAACCTAATAGCCGGTGCTCTTAACTGCTGAGCCAGTGCTCCAGCCCAGAGCTTCCATTTCTCGAGGAAGACAAATCATAGGCACAGAAGCTGCAGAGTGTCAGACTACTGGGAACCAAGAGAGAATGCTTCACTGTAGCACTGCATGTTATGGGGCTGGAGAGATGGCTCGGGGGTTTAGAGTACTGTTGCTATTCCAGAGGACCCAGCTTCAATTCTCAGCACCCACATCATGGCCCAAAACCAGTTGTAACTCCAGTTCTAGGGGTGCCTAGTCCACCTCTTCTGACCTCTGAGAGCACCAGAAACATTACAGTTCACTTACATATGTGCAGCTAAAGCACCCAGACACATAAAATGAAAATTTAAGAAATGAGATTACACATTGTTGCAATTGTTTTGAAACATATCCAAAGGTTGATATTTTGATTGTTATTATAAAATATGTTTTAAATTTCGCTCCCTTCTCTCTCTTTTATTCTCTCATACACATAAATAGCTTTGCATTTTATATACTGTATTTTATGACACTATTGGATCTATAATATATCATAATCTTTCACTTTTAAGTACACGTCAGAATTTATTTCCTTTTCAGGAAGGTATTATCTTCTGAACCCACAGAGCAGTGATAAAAATCAGGGATTCTCATTGTTACTATGCTATTATCTGTAATAAAGATCTTATTCTAATTCTCTCACTCTTTGATTAATATTTTACATCGAGAATCATGCATTAGTCATTATGTTCCTTTAATCACCTTTACATTGGAACAGATATTTTATCTTAGTCTTTCCTGGCAGTGACTTTTTTGAAACTATTTGCTAATAATTTCAATATTCTATCTTCTAATATGCATATACCACAAAAGGAAACAGCTCCTTACCTTCTTATTGTCTCTTCTGACAAGGAACAAAGTGCTGCATCTAAGAAAAAAAGTATTTTTTACAGAGATTTGGGAAGTCTTTCGTCAGTCTGGAGAAGAAAATATATGCATTTAATCCTAGCAAGCATTTTAACAAATATGCACTAATAACCTTTCATGACTAAAGTGATTTAAGCAATGTATTTTAGAGCACATAGTGAATATATACAATATTACTTATAAGTGTACTGAACTATAACCAATGGAAAGTTAGAGTATATTCTAATTTATTTCATTAGGGATTTGAGACAGAAACACAGCTTTAAAAGGTGCATTGATTTTTCCACAGCTGTAATTTATGATTCAAGTACATTCATCATCGTGTAAATGAAACAACATATAGAAATTGTTCTTAGTTCAGATTAATACTAAATCAGTTTTGCAAGCCATCTGATCTAGAATATAAAACTCCGAGGTGCACGTCAGGCTGCTCTTTGCTACAGGGAGGCACTTTCAGACTTTTCCATTCTTAAAGTTACAGAGTGCACATGATTTCAGGAAGCAGCTCAAATACACGGAAGGCCTATCTCATGTTCAATACTATCTTAAGGCATAAAATGATGGATACAAAATGAGTGATTCCAAGTCCCTAGTAAGGGTAGCAGGCTTTCTTCTACATGCATGTGCCTTAGGAAAGACAGGATATTTGATATTTGATATTTTCTTAGTGGTTTAGAATTTAGGATTAGGTGTGGTCCTCTACTTCAGTGTTCTCACTCACTGTCAAATTCTTAATGGCTGCCTCTTTGGTTATCATCACATCTTCCTCAAAGTTAAATCACTAATTCTGCTTCCCTCTGTCTTCCTGCAACCCTAACAATTGTCTTTGTTCCTCCACTGTATTGCTTTGCTGCCTTGTCAAAGATTAAGTGGCCCTTGGTGTGGGTATCTTCCAAAATCTTGCTGCTGTCCTCAATGCTTTGTCACCTCTTTCCAGTGAGTCTTAAAATCCTCCAGAGCCTACATATACTTGATGTTACACAGTATCAGATCCTACATGGTCTACGTATCCTTAGATGTTACACAGTATCCCATCCTCCAGAGCCCACATATACTTGATGTTACACAGTAACCCATCTTACAGAGCCTACACCATCCTGAGATGTTACACAGTATGAGATCCTCTGGAGTCTACTTATCCTTAGATGGTACACAGTATCAGATCCTCTGGAGTCTTCTTATCCTTAGATGTTGCACAGTATCAGATCCTCCAGAGCTTACATTTCCTTAGATGTCACACAGTATCAGATCCTTCAGAGTCTACATATTCTTTGATGTTAAGCAGTAGCATGTTTGGAAGCCTTGTCCTCTAACTTAGTAAAATAATTATAGCAGCCTTTTCATTTCCTTGTTTTAGTAACTGTAAAAACCATTGTGCAAATTTCTTTCTAGACTTATTATTTTTTTGTTTAAAACAATGTGGTTAATTTCAGTTACCTTTTTTATAATCAGAATGACTTTCTAAAATAAAATCCTAGGTATAGTAACCAGTAGTATTTTCATCTATTGATTTTGTAATACACTTTAAACATTTAGGTATTTTAATTTAACTAGATACATAATATCTAGATGATATGTAGTCATTTATTTTTATAAATACGAAACTTATCACTCTAACACATGTGTCCTTTGAATGCACCCATTTTTTGTTGCTTCAATCATAACTTTGTCATATGATGCTAAATGCTTCTAATTTAAGATACAGTTTTATTCATTCACCACTGTTTGCTGAATGAGTCACTCCATCTTAGATAATATAGAGCTCACTTTTCCTCTAATGTATGGTGCCATCAACTCTTAGTAAGAGAGACCTCCCATATCAGAAGTCTTTAGCGTGGGAGCCTTTAAGGAAGGACATAGAAAGAACCTGTGCCACAGTAACCTTAGTAAATTGGTCATTTCTTGCTTCTGATGTAGATAAAGCCTTTGCACTTCCTCTCTGTTTCTACTTCCTTGTGCCCAAATTCAACTCTGTTTGTATCTCAGCTCCGTTATGAGATTATTAGAGACCTACTTCTATGATTGTGCAGAGTAACTAGCAGCTCGGAAATTTAGGGCTTCATGACACATTTTTATTCCAGCCTTTGGTTTCTAATGGTCCTCTGCACTTAATCATTTCCTAATAATGACAGACTCTTGACCTTCTGAAGTCAGTGTGTTTGCTTGGAAGTTGGTAAGGAATAAGCAGTAGGTGGTTTGAATTAACTCTCTTTTCCTCTTTCTAGTCCATTGTGGTCCCCAATTTTACACACACACACACACACACACACACACACACACACACACTGGGAGTTTTGGCAAATAAGTGACAAATCTGTGGTTTTAAGAATCAGAATATAATTGCTCTAATCTTGTATTTCCTATATGTAAGGTTGGCAGGGGGAGCAACAGACAAGGGAACAAGTAACTTGAAGATACCACAGGCTTTTTTTCAGATTGAACCAACAGAGGGGGAAAAGAAATCTTCAAAGAAGCAGTTCTCAACCTGTGGTTTGAGTTATGAAGTAGCAATGAAAATAAATTCATGGTTTGGGGTCACCATAACATGAGGAACTGAATTAAAATGTTGTAGCATTAGGATGGTTGAGAGCCACGACTCTAGAGTAAGTAAGCAGAGCCATTGCAGAGTGGTTGTTAATTATCACATTCAGACACCAGTGAAAATTCTCAGCTTGTTGGCTGAAACTTTTAGCCTCAGTTTCCAGCTCCTCTATCCATCCTACTGTGTGTGTCCCCTGGGAAGGCAATGTAAATAAGAAGGGGGTGTTGCAAGGGCTGTATTCAAACTGTGTGTTAAGCTTGATTCGTTCACGCAGTTGACTTCAGTTAATACTTACAGCAATACCAAAGCACAGTCACAAGTTCATCATTCTGATTTTGCAGAAGTCTCCCAAAAGACACTTAGATAACAGTGGGGAAATGAATATTGCCTTAATTTTCGTTTTGATCACTTGTAAAGTTGTTTCGAACTCTTTTTCTTCTCTGTGTTTTCATTGGTCTGTTGCCTGGGTCAGGTAAATGGGCTGTGTCTTGCTATCTCATGTTCACATTACTAGAATAGTCTTGGAAAGATGATATTTGTATATTTTCACACCAGATATTTGTCAGAATGGCAAATGTTGGAAGAAAGCATATGTGAAAAGTTAGTATCTGCTTTCACTGGAAACAAAATATTAAAAAAATAAAAGTTACACATCCTAATGCACCCATTCATTATTAGAGAGTTGTAGGTTTTACCAGAGAGTTTGGTTTCTCTCAGATACATATAACTTTTGTCAAGAATATTAAGTACAGTTTAGTTAAGGTCATAACTAATAACCTTTTGTATGTTAAAGAATACTTATGGATATCAATCTAAACATGTAGGGTATTAATGAATGAAATCAGTAAGTTAGTTTGTATTAGCAAGACCACTGTTCATTTATCTAAACAAATTCTTCAAAGTATGTGGATGATGTAATTAAAATAAGTTGCTCTGTTTCTCTCCTCAGCTCAGTCCATTTTTAAGACATTCTGTTCTGAAGAGAACATACAATGTCACTCTACCATATTCATCCTCTAAGAGAGAAAATACCTGTCCTTCAGGTCAGAAAGCCAGACAGAAACATCGAAGAGACAGAGTGCTGTATTCTAACTGGTGAGTATGACGGACCCACAGAGTCATAGACATGCATGTGCGTCACCCCCTTCCACTCTGGGGTGATATCTTTGTCAGATCCTTAACTTCACTCACTGTGATCACCTAGGTTGATGGTGTCAAGCAATCATTAAAATATTATAGTGAAGATAATCTTCATGCTTCTACATTTGACTGCTAATCTGATTTTGATAGTTTTTTTTTTATTGTTAAGACAGGGGAGTTGCCTAAATGTGATTAAGTAGCAGCTTCTTAGTTGACATACTTTTCCATTACAAAGAAGTACACTGTATCTTAATAAATTATAATAAATTAAAATTGTGCTTTAGCCAAATATTTTGAAATTATATAATATGGCAGCTTGAGTATTTTCTGGACAGATTGTAACTCTGGGAACATTTAGACAAATGAATAGATATTCTCATATAAAACATTAACAGATAGTAGCTGTAAACTAACAATAATGACTATGATTGTGCCTTAGATATTGTTTTTGTAAGGCAGTACTGTATTTAAACATTTAATGATGCTGTATCCAAAGATTCTTTCTCATTTCAGTGCTTATACTATAATAAGACATTGTACTTCAAGAGTTGACTATGATTATATTAATTATTAGGAACTAGATTCTAAATAGACAACAGTTATTTATCAAAGCAATAATCCTCTAAACCTAAAAGGTCTAATAAATCACAGGCTATTAGAGGAACAGAAAAATTCTTTATTAGTATCACTGACATTAAATATAAATTCTTATATTTATATTTAAGGGGGCAGGAGATATTTGATTAATAATATTATACATTGTGTGCTAGAATACTATTTCAGACCTATTAGGCCAAATAAAATATCCTGTTTTCATTTCTTTAATTTTTATCTGGTAATTATATAATATAAAAGTACCTACGGTCAAAGTTATAATTCCATTGGTTAATGATGATCTAGATTGGAATATCCACATTTTAGGTTAGTGACCACATCAGTATTGTCTATACAAAAGTAATGTCCTTATTTCATTTTAAGTTTTGGAGGATTTTTGCTAAATTACGAAAAAATTTGGAATATATTTTCTTTCTGCATATTGAAACCGCCAGTGTATTATCATCTCTCTCCCATGCTCTTAATGAGCTGTTTTTGCTTTGAAGATTGTGTCTTTTATCTTCTTTCAGAGATAAGAAAAAACAAAACATAAGCCAACATACAAACTTAATATTCCTAGGTTTTCTTGCCTTCAGTATATGCCTCTGTGTTCTTTGATGTTTACAATATTTTGCATTGTGTGATTTGGTGCTTTTTATCAGTCATAAAAATTATCACCAATTGTTTTTTTTTCAAGTATTGCTGTTCCAAATCCTGTCTCATCCTAATTTGGCAATGTGATTATGAGCATTCTTTGTCTTTTGTTGAATGTACTTTTGTACTTATCACTTCTCTATCATCTAACCTGAAGTTAAGTACATCTACTATAGTCTTAAATTATTGCTTATTTTTTCAACTCTAAAACTTTCATTTGACTAGTATGTGTAAGCCCTTTTTTTAATTTTATTTTTTTAATTTTTATTATTTTTTGTGTAAGCTCTTTGTCATGTTAAAATGTTGTAAGCATTCCATTCTCCATCATTTTACACTATAGAAGGCACCCTCTCCTCCACTGTCCAGGGTCCTAGCTAGGAACATCCCTGTGGACATCTGGGATGCTCTCTAGAGTCAAGCCTCTTGCCAACCCCACAATACCTCCCTTAATTAAGATATCTTCATCTCTGCTTCCATATCTGTCTATTTTCCATCTTAACCATCCCACTCTCCCAAGCTCTCCCCAACCCTCCACTTCTCCCTTTTCTCTCCCCATCTCGCCTTCCACCACCCCACCCCACCCCCATGCTCCCAAATTTTGCCTGGGGATCTTGTCTGCTTCCAATTTCCAGGAGGATGTATATATGTTTTTGTTTGGGTTCACCTTGTTACTTAGGTTTTCTAGGATCACAAACCATAGACTTAATATCCTTTGTTGATGGCTAGAATTCACTAACGAGTGAGTACATACCATATTCATATTTAGCTGCCATATTTAATGCTATATTATGGTCTGGTATACAAATGCACATGCATTTGACAAATGTCTTCCATTAGAAAGTCATACAATATCAGGTTCCATCATGTTCTTCCCTTCTGTTAGGTTCTTCCTATAGGGCCCCAAGAATGCCACAACACCAGCTTAGATTCTTGACCATTTTGTGGCGTCGTCTTACTCTTCGGCCTTGTCTTTACAGGGATGGGGTAACATAAGTTATAAGAGCTGATAAGTAGCCTGACCTAATGGGCCAATCAGCTTTATAATCTTATGGAGTCCTGTGTGTGATTTTTATTGGGGCTTGTCGGTTGTGGGGTACTGGGCGGGACAGAAACCCCAACAAGCCAGCCCCTAATGTTACATGTGGCGCCCAGACGTGGATAACTGAATCCACAGAAAGCTTGAGAAAGCTTGGGAAAGCATGTTTTTCTTGGTGGCAGCAATTTCTTGGGTCTGCACTGCCTGCTAGAGGCAAGCAAACGCTCTCATCTAAGAGAGGCTTCCTGACTCAGCTTTAGCTGCAAAACCCTGCAACTCTTTTAAGAGGTCCTGCCACTAAACACTTAAACTGTGTTGAGGAAAAGCCGAATGCATGCTTTTCGGTTTTCAGACGTAGCAGGAAAAAAGCTGCACTGTTTTAAAATGCCAGCTGTTCTGCCAGGGCAAACTCTGACTCTTTCAGGCAGGCAATCCGACTGAGTGTGGTCTGTGAGCAGAATGCTGTAGCTTGCCTGCTGGCAGGGACCTTGAAATACTGTAGAGTTGTGGCAATAAAAATGGCTGCAGAATTCAAGATGTCATTGTTTTTTACCGCTGAGTAGAACTCTAATGTGTATATGTTCCACACCTTTATTAACCATTCTTCTATTGAGGGGCACCTAGGTTGTTTCCAGGTTTTGGCTATTACAAATAGTGCTGCTATGAACATAGTTGAACAAATGCTTTTGTAGTATGATAGGGCATCTCTTGGGTATATTCCCAAGAGTGGAATTGCTGGGTCCTGAGGGAGGTTGACTCCCAGTTTCCTGAGAAACCGCCACACTGATTTCCACAGTGGCTGCACAAGTTTGCATTCCCATCAACAATGGATGAGTGTTCCCCTCATTCCACATCCTCTCCAGCATAGGCTATCATTGGTGTTTTTTAGTTTGGCTATTCTGACAGGTGTAAGATGGTATCTCAAAGTTGTTTTGATTTGCATTTCCCTGATCGCTAAGGAGGTTGAGCATGACCTTAAGTGCCTTTTGGCCATTCGGAGTTCATCTGTTGTGAATTCTCTGTTCAGTTCAGTCCCCCATTTTTTAATTGGGTTAATTAGAGTTTTAGTGTCTAGTTTCTTGAGTTCTTTGTATATTTTGGAGATCAGACCTTTGTCTGATGAGGGGTTTGTGAAGATCTTCTCACAGTCGGAAGGTAGCCTTTTCCTCTGCATATACTGGATTTTTGGGATCCAGTCTGTTCGGATACTCACCTTCTGGGACCTGGAAGGAGTGGGGAGGAACTTGAACTTCCCACAGGGCTGGAAGCCCTGACTGCTCTTAGGGATGGAGAGGGAGGAGGAGGGGGAGGGGGGAGTGGGAGAGTGTTGGGAGGGTGTTGGGAGGAGGGGCAGAAATGGAAACTTTCATAATTTAATAAACTTTGAAAAAAAACCAAAAAAAAACAAAACACAATCAAACCAAAAAAAAAAAAACCAAAAAAAAAATGGCTGCAGTAGGTACCTCAGTCATGAGGATGAAAAGCTAAGGAATGGGCAAAGCCACGGCTTTCATCCTCTCCTTAAAGACTCCTGTAGTCAGAAAAAGAGAGATATATAGTAAAAGAATGATTCAAACTTGAAGAGAACCTCTAAATGGTTTACATTGTGTTAAAAATATATGCAGGCTGAAAGTTAAAGTTCTTAAAGTTAAATGGAAAGAAAGAGAGTAGTTGGGTGTGATGGTACACACCTTTAATCCCAATGCCTGGGAGGCAGATTCATATTGACCTCTGTTACTTCAAGTGTTAGAGGTAGATTGACCTTTGTGATTTCAAGGTGTGATAGTGCACACCTTTAATCCCATTGGGAGGCAGGGACAGACAGATCTCTGTGAGTTCAAGGTGTGGTAGCACACACCTTTAATCCCAGCACTGGGGAGGCAGAGACAGAAGGATCTCTGTGAGTTCAAGGACAGCCTGGTCTACAGAGTTATTCCAGGACAAAGATACACAGAGATCCTGTCTCAAAAAGTAAAAGTAAAAATAGGAGAAATAGAAGTTAAAATAAAGATGGAAAATATACAAAGAATCTTGATACTGTATGCTATTATGCTCTCTTTGAATTGTTTGAATGCTGAGGAAGGAGCAACAGCTGCTAAAAGACTTTTGTTTATAAATGCTGCTGAACTAACCCAAGATAGGTATTTTGAAAATACCTTGGCTTCAAAACTGAAGTCAAAAGGTATGTTTCTTTGGGGAAGAGATTTTGCTTTTGTTTCCACAGAAAATGAGGGGCTATGGATTCATTCTGACTTAAGAAAAATGAGCTTTGATCAAGGGAGGCCACCTGAGAAATCTCCGACAGGAGCAGATGGCCCAGATGTCTGAGTTCTTCATCCAGAACAGGTTCAAGACTGCTGCCTGAGATGATCAAGACTCACAGGATACTTCAGTCAGAACTTGATTATAACTCTAAATTTTCTTTAGGTCCCCATAAGATCATCAGCGCCCCCAACCAGCAGGAAGTAGCCTGAAATACTACACCCACATTCCCAACAAATGGATTATGGGTATTTTCCTTTGTTTAAAAAAAAAGAGGGAAATGGTGCAGGAGAATTGTCTGTATTCTGTCAATCATATTTTAATAAAACGCTGATTGGCCAGGCAGGCAGTACAGGCAGAAAAGCCAGACAGGAAGTAGAGGTGGAGCAAAGAGACTGGGAGTATTCTGGGAAACAAGAAGCTCCCTTTGCCAGTTCAGCCCAGACCACTGGAAAGGAAAGATGTAAGCTGCCCTGCTGGAAAAGGTACTGAGCCATGTGGCTAACATGGATAAGGATAATGGGATAACATAAGTTAAAAGAACTGATAAGTAGCCTGCCCTAATGGGCCAATCAGCTTTATAATCTTATGGAGTCCTGTGTGTGATTTTTATTGGGGCTTGCTGGCTGTGGGGTACTGGGCGGGACAGAAACCCCAACAAGCCAGCCCCTCATGCTACACAGGGAGTACAAGACTTGCCTTGCATTACTTTCTCCTTTTCTTTCTTATTAGGTTCCTGGTTCTTTTGATCTTTCTCTGTGGCTTCTTTCATTTATGTGCATTTCGATAAAAAAGTTCTTAGTAATACATTTTCAGATATATAGTCTACAATATTTTGCTCATTGCCATCTCTAAAATTTCTTTTTAATCACAATTTTCAGGCAGTTTTTTGCAAGGATATATTCCCTTTAAGTTAGCATGCCTACTTATTGGTTTCATTTACCTCTAGATGTATTGTGTTTGAAGGTTATGATGTGACAGCACTTATTACTATTTAGGTGTTTATTGACCTCTTCTACATGGTGTGTTACAAAAAAGGTTCCTTTAGAACCATGCCAGTGCTCTAGACTTGCTTATCTTAAATAGAACCATCTGAGTGAAGGCGCCCTTAAACAAAGGCCCTATTTAATTTCAACTTTATAGATGGACAGAAAGATTCCCCGCCATCTTCCCTGTGTTTAGGCATTTCTTCATTGTCATTGCAAACTCACAACAAACTACTATATTTGCATGCAGGATTATTCTGCAGCCCAGTAAATATAGTGCCACTTGGAGTCTCTGTCCCTTAAATGACTTTTATGAGAAGTACATGGTTAGTTATGTCACAATTAGAGAGAAAGTTAGAGCTTGACTGAGCTACAATACTAACTCTCAAGATGAGTGAGCTGATAATATGTTCAAATGCTGACATCAGTCTAGCCCTTGTCTATGAAAAAGGTGAACAATAGAGCAGTGTCCTACGGTTGAAAGTAAAAACATAACCACCTCCTGAGTTGGAAACACATCAGACAGTAAAAGAGAAAGAATTTGAACAAGTTCTTATACTCCCAGTTTTCCCTGTGTCAGATAATCTATGTCCAACTGCTCCTGGCCACGAAGGTGTCAAACCATTGTTTGTTATGTGTACTCTCGCAGACACAAAGCTTAGACATAGACTAGAGTTTCTCCACAGGTGAACCCTAATAGAACCTCTTACATGCTGCAAGTACATTATATAAGTAACTGTACTTTACTCCCATACCATTTGTCCCTGGTAAAATCCAGTGTATTAAGTTAGACCATGAAAGTTTTAAGTGCTCATTTGCTGATGTTTTCTCTTTCACTCTCTCTGAGGTTCATCTTATTAGATGTGCTACAATTTGTATATGCAGCAATGTGTATGTAACTGCTGTTCCGATGCAGCAATGTCTATGTAACTGCCGTTACAATGCAGCAATGTCTATATAACTGCTGTTACAATACAACACACAGTTTCAGGTACAGCTCACACAGTAACATCCATTTTTAGAAAACTCATGTCTCCAATAGACCATTAGGACAACCCCAAAAGTCAGGTTTATGGCAACTACTTGAAGATACTTAATAAATTTGGTTTTTAAAACAGAGCATGTAATGACATTTATGATGTTTGATTATGATGTTATAACAATTATGATGTTTGACTGAGCAGCCACATTGGCTTCTTGTTTGGGATAATGAAGACATAATGAGAAAGAATATTTGGGTTTAAGTAGAGATGTATATAGTAGAGGTACCAGTTATTTAAACAACTTTTCTCTCCTCACAGATGTAACACAAAGGTAACATCTTTCAACAGACGGGTAAGCTGACAGTCTCCTCACAGAGACGTTCTTCCTACGTTATGATGTCATCCGTCAACTGCTTAAAGAACAGCTTCCATTCTAACCTCTAGTCCAGAACCATTTGTTGCTGTAACACATTTAATTCTTTTCCCTCATTGCATTCTTTCTGAACACATAATGTTGATGCCTCCACAGGACATAAATAAAGACGACTGAGCAAAGCTTTTCTTTTCAACTTTAGAATCTCTCTCTAACTAGAAAATGTGTTGACGTTCTGAACACCAACATGTAAAACAAAACAATGCTGTTACTGTGTGCTGGCTAGCTACCTGGTTGATTTTCTTATGCTTTGTGTCTCTGAAATTCTATAAGTATAAAATTACAAATAATCACAAAAGGAATATTCACCCTGTTTCATTTGCTGTTTATTTTATGTACAAATACAAACATCAGGAAAAAGTTATTAAATTGTGACATATTCTTTTCCATGGCCTATATGTTTGGGAAGATGTATATTGATTTGATTTTGTGTAGCAACACTATTTGAATACCTTTATGGGGAGCCTTAAGACAATTCTGCACATGTTACATGTGAGTATTGTCTTTGATCCCTAGGACAAGACTAAGTAAGTATTGCTTATAGAGCTGATATAATAGTGATGAATTTCCTCAATTTATGGTTATTTGAGAAATTCTTTATTTTGATTTCAGTTTTGAAGGATGATTCTGCTGAGTAGAGTCGTCATGACTGGCAGCATTTGATGCTAGCCTGGGAACTTTCTATTGGAACCATACTGGAAGTCTAATGGGAATTTCTTCATGGTTTTTTTACTCTTTCTTACAATTTTGAACATGACATGTGAGTGAGCACGACACATGAAAGTGACAGTCCATTTTGGGGTAAATCTACTCAGTTTTGCTCCTTAGAACTGCTTTATATATGGGTATCCATATTGGTTAAACTTTCTAAAATCTTTAGTCATTATTTCATTTAAATTTTTAGTTCCTTTCTTGACCTTCTGAACTTATTATAATGGGAAGATTCAGTTAATTATATCACAGCTAATATGTTTTGTCCAGTTTTAAAAAATCTCATCCCATGCCGTCTCTTTCTTTTCTTCCTTTCTTTTATCTAACTAGATTAATTCAAATGACTTGTCAGATTCCAAAATACTTTCTTTTCTTTGTTCTAGTCTGCCATATAAGACAAGAACAAATGTTATCACATTGATTCCAAACTAGGCTCCAAAGTTCTGACATTTTAAAATATGTACGTTTCTTTGTTGAATTTCGGATTCACATATAACTGTATTTTTAAAACTTATTTGTATTGCCTATCTGTGTTTTCTTGGCATTTCACTGCATTTTCTTGGGATCTTTTTTTTGAATTCTCTTTTGGATATTTCACTTTGAAATCTAATACTTGAAAATTACTGATGTTCTTTTTTGGAGAATCCATGTTTCCTTTTATATGTGTTTTCCTGCGCTGATGTACATTCATATGCTTTGATAGTCACATTTTCCCGTTTTATGGAGTAGCATTTCTGAAAAAAACAGTTTGGCTGTTAGGTGAGATACAGGACATCAGTGGGGTGGGTGCTTTAACTTGGTAATAATGGATCTCTACATTTAGCTCTGATGTTATTTCTTCATCTTTCAATGCTGTCAGTCTCTCTGAGTATATCATTTGTCTAGACTATGGTAGTAAATGAAGTTAGTTGTATAATTTTGCCATGGATATAGGACCCCATGCATATATGTCCCAAGTTTCAATGAAGTGAACACTTGTGACACTTGGTTACATCCCAGTATCTGCTATAGTCTCAATTGTGTGGTAGTACTATCTATCTCCAAATCCCTGAAGAAAAGTATCAATGATGCCAAGTGTTATAATCTCAGCATGCGTGGTTCCTGAGCCCAAAGATGTAAAGTTTATTTCCTCTATGACCCTTAATCAGTCAGAAGTTTCCATGGCACCAGCATTTATAAATCTGAAGTTACAGAAAGGGCAAGTCTGAGTAGGACTCAAGCTTGTGGCTCTGAAACCGACTACACCTAAACCAACAAGATACTGAACAAGGGTACACAAGCCCATGATTCTGCTCCCATCAGGGCACAGCTGCAGTTCCAAAGGAAAGGTGCAGCAGAAGTGACATTTGTAGCAATTTGTCTTCTATAGAATGAAAAATTTATAAAGTATATTCCTAGGTAGCAAAACAGATAGGAAACTTCGCCAGCCCCCAGAATGGATGCACTGTGTGACCATGGCATTCTTCAGTCAGCATTTAGAGGTCCCTGCCTGCTGCTATGATGGGGTTTGTTGATCCTGTTCTGCTTGCTTATTCTCTAGCAGAAAAATGGTATGGACCCTACGGAAGAGTGAGGTTATAGTTGGAACTATCTGTATTATTTCCTTTGTATTGCTTTTCTAAATAACTCTCCCTCTTTTGAGGGTTCCAGGCACTTCTTTGCTGATTTACAGAGTTCTCTCTCTCTCAATCATTCTCAAAATTCAGTTTTCTTTTCTTACTCTGGTTTCTGCTCTGTCATATTCTTATTTAGCACATCCATAGTGGAGGTTTAAATATTAAATGTCAAAATCTTGGTAGATGCTCTACTACTAATAGTATTTTGGAAAACAAATCAGTCACAAAGAATGACTTAAATAATTGCTTACATTTCAGAAGGATCATTGACACTTTGAGTTTTGACAAAAGCTACAGAAATGACATAGACAGAATTGACTTATCCATATAATGAAAATTAATGCAATTTTCGAAAAAATCAAGCACTTTGGAGATGTTTCAGTGTATTCTGACTCAAGAAAATCTATTGCAAACATCTTCACTAATGTATCTAAGAAGAATCACTAATGATTAACATAACAAAGAGGATAATTCATGAATGAATAAGTATTCTTCCACTGAACTGAGTAAATTGAACTAAAATGATTTTTAGAAAATACTTCAAAAATATGAGATAATTGAGAGGAGCCCTAGACCTTATGTCCTAGCCATGAAATCTCCCGTGTATGTGGTCTGTGGCTAAAGCATGAATATCTTAGTATGGCCATCAGTGGTTTTCCATCACGGATGCTGAACAACTTCATATGTCACAGCATGTGTTATAAAGAAAAGAATTCACAAGACAATGAAAATCTTTCTGCAAAATGTGGAGCTTGCATTTTTAAAAGAATAATTTAAAGAATATTATAAACCATAAAATGTATTTTGAATGTTCTGAGCTGCCCAAATTTTCTGAAAGAGGATTGTAGTTTATATGGTTTATATGAGACAGAAGGAAGCAATGTTGAAAGAAATACAGCAGGAATAAGCGGGATCTTGAGAATCATGAAGTTGAATTTTCACTATGACAGTTACGTTTGTAGAGGAAACAGAGTCTCTGGAGCCCTATGCACAAGCACATTTTCTGTGATTAAGCAATTAGCAGCCTGTAGGATGGAGAATGCTGGTAATCAGATTGGGGTTTAGCTCAGTGTAACTGTATTCTTGTAAAATATGCAAATTTGGGTATAGAAACATATAGAGTAGAGCACCATATGATAATAAAGGCAGAGGTGAGGGTGTAGCTGAAGCCCCAGAAAATCAACCCCAATGATAAGTATCTTTTGAACTGCCAAAGTTTCTGCTGTTTGAGCTCTTTTTTTGTGATATTTTGCTATATCTGCTCAAATATTCTGAAAAAAAATGTGTGAGACTCACAAGCGACTTGAATTTTTAGATGTAGTTACTTAAGCTACAGAAGATGTATTCAGTTATTAGCTATTAAAATAAGCTTTTGGAAGCAAAAAGGATTGTGAGTGATTTATAGTCAGCAAAAATCTATGTTTAATATTAGAGCAATTTTATGAACTAATATCAGAAATGAAAACAGAAACAAACCACGGGTGAGCCAGTGCTATAAATTAATCATAGAATTTATTTTTCCCTGCTCTTACATTTTATGCCTGTATTTTATTTTATTGATATTTTTCATTTTGTCTACCAGCAGAAAAGTACATATATACATGGAGAAGAAACATCTTAAAATTTATGAAACAATCGATAAAATTATTCAAAATAAACTCATGCCTATTTCCTTTGATTTCTGTATTTAAATAGCTTGAACCTTAATTCTCTGTTCTATATTATCTATGACTTTTAATTAAAAAACTAATTCCTCCTACCATCTATTACTAATGATTTATTTATTTTCTTACTTATTTATTATTATCTAATATTTATCCCTTCTCTTTCTTCCCACCAAGCCCTCCTATGTAGCTCTTCCCACTCTTCCTCAAACTCATGACCTCTATTTAAGATTAATAGTTATTGCATTGATATATTGACTTGCACATGCATATATTCCTAAATATAACCTGTTAGGGCCAACTGTCAGTGGACCACCAATTGATGTGCTATTCCCTGGAGAAGCCCACCTCTGCTGCTCCAAACTTTACCCAGTTACCTGTCGTTTTCTGTACAGTTGAGAAGGAGGCAAACAGCAGTCCTGCCCAGCTATGACACCTCTGCTCCACATCAACTATCAGCACGGCACAAAGGGTGCAGTAGTTGCACACCTGCCTTGGTGTTGAACAAAGAGTTCTCTCATTGGACCTGAAACTTGATCCACAAGAGAGATACCTTGCCTGGTACTGGAAACCTCACTCACTACTCAGTGCTAATGAAGTCATAGTTATTGGAGAAGAATATACAGATGCTAATTTGCTACAGTAGCAAAATCCTAATAATGATTTATAAACATGTCCGTATGCCCACAGTTAAGTGTAGTCCTCACCCCTCATCCAAGAAACCACTCTTTGCAGCAGACAGAGACTACTACAGAAAATCACAGCTAAGAGAGACATACATGGATCTAATCTACATGGGAAGTAGAAAAAGACAAGATCTCCTGAGTAAATTGGAAACATGGGACTTTGGGAGAGGTTAGAAGGGGAGGAGAGAAACAGGGAGAGGAGCAGAAAAAAATGTAGAGATCAACAAAAGTGAATAAAAAAAGAACGAATCAGACGAGGATCTACCAGAAAAAAAAAACAACAACAACAAAAAAAACCAGAATGAAACTGCAGATGTCAGTCCCAATAGATACACCTACAAAATATTCTACACTGAAGAGTCAGGGTACTCTGTGGAAAAGGGAGAAGAAAAATTTAAGAGTCAGAGGATCAGGGAGTTGGATATGAGACTATTTCTCCTTATAACATCAGAAGCTATACCCGTAAAGCCTCACCAACATGACCACCAAAATGTGAACTGAGTAAGAATGATACCAATGAACACGCCAGACTGGATGGAGAATAGCCAGGAGGCCTCAACCTTATGTTTGGTTAAAAAATAATTTTTCT